GAGCCTCCCGCCTGTCTGGGCCAGGAGTCTGCGAGTCGCTGCTGCTGCCGCTGTCGCCGGTCGAGGTTCGAGGATCGAAGCCCGACCGTCGAGGTCTTGGGTCTAATGTTGCGCCGTTCTGGGCTTCCAGAGGCTGCTGGAGACCTCTGGGGGCCGCCGCGTGCGCCAGCGCCGTCGTTGTTGCCGCTGCCGTCGTCGATAGAGGCTCGAGGGGCGGACTTCGAGGGTCGGACTTCGAGGGTTGAAGTGGTCTCGTTTGTTGGGTCCGCCGCCTTGTTGCCGCCGTCGCCGCCCCGTCGTCGCCCCGTCGCCGCCTTGTCGCCGCCCCATAGATTGCACAACCTACATTGCACAACATAGACCGCATCAAATAGACTGCATCACACATATTCAACTACATAGATTGCGCGCCACACAGATTTTCTGGTAATGATCTACACCGCACTCTTTATCGACCCCCCCTGGGATAGTGCAATTTACTTATGATTCTGCCCCATGGTTTATGTTAAATATGAGCTCGTGTCCCAGGGAGTGCCGTGATCGCTCCCCCCCTTTCATCCCTGCCAACTAGTACTATGCGCTTGCGCTCGTTTATCAACGCTCGTAAGTTGTCAAGAGCCCCTTGGGAAACACTCAGACACAGTCGACACGCACGCGTCGTCGCGCGCGCATGCCGAGATTATTTCAACACTTTAGGTTTCGCACGGATTTCACGATCGAGGTTACCGAAGCCATATAGAAACAAACCAATGGTTTTGCACCCCGTAGTTTCACGAACATCTGCGTGCGCTCTCTTGTGAATATTTCAGGTAGCCATCGTTGCTTCCATCATCTACATCAGATGCGACCAAGTGGACCTCTCGCGCGCGAATGTCGAAATCATTCGAACTCCTTTGTGCGCGTGCGGGGGGGGCACGATCCCCGTCGAGTGATAACATGTGAGCCACTCTCGCGCGTCGGCCGCGCGCGCATGTCGAAGGTCATTCCGAAATCTTCATCACCGACACGTGGACACCATCATCGTCATCGGCCTCATCAGCATAGGCGCCGTAATTGGCCTTGCCGTCGTCAGTATCAGCATCGTCACTAGCATTTCTTCTATCATCATCGTGGCTGCCGTTGTCGATGTCGCCATGATACCGCGCCCGCCCGAGCCACCGACTCGCACGGAAGTGCCCGCGCGCCAGCGCGGCCTGCGAGACGAGTTGGGGAATTCCCAGCGGTTAGCCCCACTGCGGCCGCGTCGGTCGCGCCAGACCAGCTGGCCGCTCTGCGCGCGAGCCTGCGCGCGCCAGCGTGGCCGCAGCGATGTGCCGGCCAGGGCCAAGCAATCATCACAATCGCCGCCGCATGGGTTTTGCAAACCAAGTTGCGGGTGGGTGGGTAGGATGATTGTGCCAGCATTGGGGTATACAATTTCAAGTTCGGCAGAGTGAATTCTCCTCTCTGAAAACAGAATAGGATCTACCCCCCCCTTCCCCCGGCGTTATCGGTCCCCCTTTCGGGTATGTAAATCATATATGATTTTGACCACATGTCCATCCTAGATGTGAATTTGCACTATCCCCGGGGGGCCGGTATCCACCCCCTGAGGGTCCCTTGTAAACAAACACTATGCGGTGACATTTGTTGTTCTAACATAGAACTTTTTCGCGAATCCCTTGCAAACAACGGGACGAAGTGCACACGCGCGAGTCGTCGAGCGCATGCCGAAATCCTTCGAAAACCTTTGGTGCCGGAAGGATTTCGCAATCGAGTCTCCAAATAACATACAAAAACACAGGGTTTGGCAACACAGAATTGCTAAAACAACTTCCGCGCGAGCTCTTGCGAAATCTTCAGGAAAACCATGGCTTTTCAAGATTTTCGCAAAATCCAACCAAACGGGCTTCGCGCGCGCATGTCGAAATCTGTCGAACGCCCTTGCGCGTGTGCCGTCGCGAGAATCCTCTGCAAAAAACAGGACGAAGTGCAGACGCGCGCGTCGTCGCGCGCGTATGCCGAAAACCTTCAAAACCAATCGGTTTCGGAAGGATTTCAAAATCGTGTGTCCAAAAAACCTACAACAACACAAGGTTTCGCAACACGGATTTTCAACAGAAGCGTGCGCGCGCGCGCTCTTGCGTCGTCGTCGTCGTCGTCGTCGTCGTCGTCGTCGCCGTCCTCCGTCCTCCCGCGTCGTCGTCGTCGTCGTCGCCTACGTCGTCCTCTGTCTTTCCTCGTGTTCGTCGTCATCGTCCTCTTTGGCGTCGTGGTCGTTTCCGTCGTCGTTGTCGCCGTGGTCGTCCTTCCTCCTCCTCCCTCGTCGTCGTCGTCGTCCGTCGTCGGCGTCTCGTCGTCGTCCCTCCTATTTCGTCGCCGTCGTCGTCGTCGTCGTTGTCGTCGTCGTCTTCCCTCCTCCCTCGTCGTTGTCGTCGTCGGCGTCGCCGTCCTTCCTCCTTCTTCGTCGTTCGAGTCGTCGCCATCCTCCCTCCTCCCTCGTCGTTGTCGTCGTTGTCGTCGTTGTCGCCGTCGTCGTCCTTCCTCCTCCCCCGTCGTCGCCTTCGTTGGCGTCGTCGTCGTCGTCTTCGTCGTCGTCAGCGTCGGCGTCGTTGTCGTCGTCGAAGTCGTCGGAGACGTCGTCGGTGTCGTCGTAGTCGTTGTCGTCGGTGTCGTCGTTGTCGGTCTTAAGAGGTGAGGTTTTGCAAACCAAGTTGCGGGTGGGTGGGTGGGATGTTTGCGCGAGCAGTGGAGATGACGACTTCAAGTTCAGCAGGGTGGAGAAAACATAATAGGATCTACCCCCCCCGGCGTTATCGGTCCCCCTTTCGGGTATGTAAATCATTTATGATTATGACCACATGTCCATCCTAAATATGAATTTGCACAATCCCAGGGGGGCTGGTATCCCCCCACCTGATGGTCCCTTGTAGAAAAACACTATGCGGTGACATTTTTTGTTCTAACATAGCACTTTTTCATGAATCCCTTGCAACAAATGGGACGAAGTGCACGCGCGCGCGTCGTCGCGCGCGCATGCCGAAATCCTTCGAAAACCTTCGGTGCCGGAAGGATTTCGCAATGGAGTTTCCAAACAAAAATACAAAAACACAGGGGTTCGCAATATTGATTTGCTAAAAAAGCTTCCGCGCGAGCTCTTGCGAAATCTTAAGAAAACCATAGTTTTCCCCCAAGATTTTCACAACATGCTATTAAACGGGCTTCGCGCGCGCATGTCGAAATCTGTCGAACGCCCTTGCGCGTGTGCCGTCGCGAGAATCCTCTGCAAAAAATGGGACGAAGTGTAGACGCGCGCGTCGTCGCGCGCGTATGCCGAAAACCTTCAAAACCAATCGGTTTCGGAAGGATTTCAAAATCGTGCGTCCAAAAAACCTACAACAACACAAGGTTTCGCAACACGGATTTTTAAGAAAAGCGTGCGCGCGCGCTCTTGCGTCGTCGTCGTCGTCGTCGTCGTCGTCGTCGCCGTCCTCCGTCCTCCCGCGTCGTCGTCGTCGCCTACGTCGTCCTCTGTCTTTCCTCGTGTTCGTCGTCGTCGTCCTCTTTGGCGTCGTGGTCGTTTCCGTCGTCGTTGTTGCCGTGGTCGTCCTTCCTCCTCCTCCCTCGTCGTCGTCGTCGTCCGTCGTCGGCGTCTCGTCGTCGTCCCTCCTATTTCGTCGTCGTCGTCGTCGTCGTCGTCGTCGTCGTTGTCGTCGTCTTCCCTCCTCCCTCGTCGTTGTCGTCGTCGGCGTCGCCGTCCTTCCTCCTTCTTCGTCGTTCGCGTCGTCGCCGTCCTCCCTCCTCCCTCGTCGTTGTCGTCGTTGTCGTCGTTGTCGCCGTCGTCGTCCTTCCTCCTCCCTCGTCGTCGTCTTCGTTGGCGACGTCGTCGTCTTCGTCGTCGTCGGCGTCGGCGTCGTTGTCGTCGTCGAAGTCGTCGGAGACGTCGTCGGTGTCGTCGTAGTCGCCGTCGCCGTCGTCGTCGTCGTCGTCGTCGTCGTCGTCGTCGTCGTCGTCGTCGTCGTCGGCGTCGTTGACGTCGTCGTCGTCGTCGTCGTCGTCGTCGGTGTCGTCGTTGTCGTCGTCGAAGTCGTAGGAGACGTCGTCGGTGTCGTCGTAGTCGGTGTCGGCGGCGCCGTCGTCGTCGTTGTCGCTGTCGTCGTCGGCGTCGGTGTCGTGGCCAAGTGTCATGAGGTACGTACCGTCACGGTCTTGTCTTCAGAGGTTTTGCGACCAAGTTGCGGGTGGGAGGGTGGGATGTTTGCGCGAGCAGTGGAGAGGACAGCTTCAAGACGGTCAAATATTAGTTGCACCACATAGATAGCACCACGGAGATGGCACAACATTGATTGCACCACATCGATGGTGCAATATACCCTGCCAGAAACACATTTTCTGTTGCCTCCAGAGGCCTCCGGGGACCACCGCCGACGCCGCCAGCGCCGTCGTTGCCGCCGCCGCCGCCGTCGTCGATCGAGATTCGGGGTCGATGGTCGAGGTCTTCGCATCTGGTATTTGCCATAATCTTTTCCGGGCCACGGAATGCCTCTGCAAACCTTTGTGGACCGCTCCGCCGCCAGCGCCGTTGCCGCCGCCGCCGCCGTCGTCCATCGAGGTTCGATGGTATTTTGTTGTTTTTCCCAACCATGCTGTGGTTTTGGGCCCTCGTTTTGAAGAGACCTCGTCCCGCGTCCCACTCCACCTCCTCCTCCCGCTGCCCCCTCCCTCCTCCCACTCCTCCTTCCTCTTTGCGTTTCGCCCACCCAGTACAGCGTTTCGCGGCCCCATGCGTAGGGAGTTCCACCGAAAGCCCCAGTGGCAGGGTCCGCATGCAATTCCACCTCTATTTCGGCGCACCCTTGCACGTTTCGTGGCCCTATAGGGTGCTCCGCCGAAGGCCCCTGTAGCAGGGTCAGCATGCAGCTCCACCCCCATGTCGGCGCACTCCTCACGTTTCGTGGCCCCATAGGGTGCTCCACCCAAGGCCCCAGTGGCAGGGTCCGCATGCAGTTCCAGCTCCATTT